TTACACAAGACATCAAGCGGTCCAAAGAGTCCCTGCTTTCCAGGGATTTGAAATGTACTTGTTTGTTTTTCCACTTCTACATGAAATGCTACACATTGACACAGTAATAAAATTTTAGTTTTGCCATTTCAGTTTCATACATGTTTTTCTTGTAAAACTGCTTTGCTGAAACAGAATTATATTCGTGTACCTAGCTATAATACCCACCGTACAAAGAAAGAATGAGAAACATGCCCCTTATAGAGCTATAAATACTAGCTGTTCCATTTTTGCTTTGCTATAGATGGACTCTTCCCTTACATTACCTAGGAACATTTCTGTTGACTTCAAAACAGCAATAATTTCCATAATTTGTAGACCTTTGAATAGCTACTACCAATAGCTTTTCTTCTAGCACACTTCACAAACACTGAAGGTAATAGAGACACACATGTGAATGAAGTCTCAGAAAATTTTCTTGCCAAATGAACCTAATAATACCAAATCATAAAATAGGAAATACTTTTTTTTTTGTTGTTATACGCTCTCCACTGAGTTTTACATCTCATGATAAATGAAAGTAACAAGTAACATTCAAATCTGCTTTATATTAGGCCAGGAAACATAAAAGTGTCTTGCAGGATTGTGCCTAGAATCGCTCCAAGAAAACAATACTTTTATTTTTCTTTTCCACTTCTCTACAGTACCAAACCACCTCATACTTCTTCGGTCCACCTTCTACATTAACCACTCAGAATAGCAGAATTCCTACCAGAACAAACTTAACAGTGTCATTCTTTTCTCCTTAAAAAGGCACCTTGGTAAGCTAGCAGAAACATTTCAGTGAAATAAGTGAAGGACAGGGGATGGAAAGAAAGGAAATAAAGTTTCCACTTAAACAACATCTCTATGCTGCTAATTTCATTTCCATAAAATGAAGCAACACTAATTCATACTGTTCCATACTACAAAGAGACTGCTGACACCTTCTGGCCACTTGACATTCTTTCCAAAACCAACGGCTTTTCATGGAAAAACCTTTCATGTTTTTCCAACCACTCAGGATCACATGAAGTCTTAAGCTACGCCTATACTGCCATATGACAGTTGCTCAAAGCCATTTGGGTTCCCTTTCATCCACATGCTCTCACCCATCCTCCATCTCAAGCATTCAACACAGACAGCACGTTCTCTGGCTGCTGCAACTTCATTCAAAATCAGACATACTTTGAGAACTTAGCTTAATTTATCTTATCGAATTAAACAGCCAAAACTAGGAGAACCTACCTTTGGATCTTGCTTCTCTTTCTTTTGTTCAGTTTCAGATTCTTGCTGTGCCTCCTTGGCCACTTGTCGCTTTCGCTTTTTTCTTTTTTCTTCCTTCATTTCTCTGTTTTTCATATTAATTTTTGCCATTCTAAAACAGAACTAATATCCAATTAGAAACATTATAGTCAAGCTAATGCCATTCTCCCATGAAAGACTCAAGGCCGAGCTAATTTCCCTCTCTTATATCCCATCACAGAAAATCCTTCGCTAACCTCACCGCAGTAACGACCATAAATGATGCTGCCCTCTTGTAGGTTACCATGCAGCACATTTAGCCACTGGGCCTGTTGCTAATACTGCCAATGCAGATTACACTAGTCAGATCCACCTCTGCTCAAAATACTTTAACAAAACTCTAATATACAGGTGTGTACACACCCACAAGCAAAAAGTAAATCTAGCTTATTAATAAACCGATAGTTATAAACAGTCAGTTGTGTTTACACCACAAGCTTTTCCTTCTCATATTGCAAAAATAAAATAAAATAAAATAAAATAAAATGCTTAAAGAACTATGTCTCACTAATTCTGTCTTTCACTTTACATAAACCTAAGGGGGAAGGTGGACATGAGACACCCTGGTTGGAAGTGAGGTCTAGCTGTAAATGCAGGACAAGCACGGGCAGGAGACCCCACCTCAGGTCCGGGCACCGCTTGGGAAACCAACCCCCGCAGAAGGCCCAGAGCTTTGTGCTCTCTTTTATTCAGCAACAGCCCCGAAGATAATGACCAGGGAACGTATCACTTCTTTTTTATAAGGTTTTACAAGGTTTCCTTTTAGAAGGAAAAGCCACGTTGCCGTCTCCCATTTCGGCTCTGCCACGAGGTGCGGCCTCACGGCCCGGCGAGACCCGCTCCCCCCGCGCGGGGCCCTCGCGGCCGTTGGGCCCCAACGGTCCAAACGGGAGCGCCGGGCCCGTGCCCCCCCCCGCCGCGCCCAGCCCGCCCCTCTCAAACCCGCCTCC